AGTTTTTTAGTTCTCTGTATGATTTTCATTCAAGTAAAACCAGTTTAACAAAGCATGTTTTTGGTGGTGTGAATAGGGTATAAGTTGTGCCTAGAACTGCTTTTGATGTTGGGTGATATTGACCTCACAGAAAAAATTAGTAATGAAGTTAACTTGCCAACCTGATACTTGGTATTAATCTTGGTTTTAATAGCCTGCCAAATTTTCTCTTTCTCTTTTGATGACTCTAGGGGAAACTCTGCAAATACCAATGCTTGTAAACTATTCAGTTTGTTCCTATCCAAGCACTGTTTTCCATGTGTTCCGCCTGTGTTACTGTTACCTAGCTCTTCTCTTTCAAAGAAGAACTGCAGAAGTTTGAGGGTGCCTTTGTCTCTCCACTTTTAACATTGCCTCTACTTCCTTCACTTTGCTCAATTTAAACTTCAATCGCAAAAATATGTGGGCACAGGGTTCACATTAAGCCGTTAATTATATTTTTTCTTTAGCACTTTAGCAGCTTAGTGCGATAATGTGCATGTAATCATTTTGGTCAAAAATCTATTTTAAAATATGTGTTTAAAAACTCTAGTTAACTTGTGTTGTATTTTCTTGTTGTATGTAACTTTTTTTTTTAGTCTTAGTAATTTTATATGTAATCTTCTCTTTCTGCCTCGATTAGCATAGCTATTTGCAGGTGGAGGATAAAAGTAATTCAGTTATGTGTGTGTCTATACGTGTGCTGGTTCTCCATAAAGTGATAAACTTTAATAAGGCAATTTCCCTCTATTTTTTTGTCAGGCAATATTCTAGGTTGATCAGCTTTTTATACTTCCATTGCATTCAAATACACACACATCAAAGTCACAGTAGTCTTTGTGTAAAGGAAAGAACTGCTGCTGAACTTAGTACTAACTTAGAATGAACTTAGTAATATCCTAGAGGGTAGATATCCTGTTGCTATCTTGCTGTGCAGGCTTCTATCTAAAAAAAGGATGTTAGCTATGTGAGAACATGACTCACCAAGGCCAGATTTGCAGACTAAACAATGTTGAGAAACTGTTAATTTCCATGCCTTTCTGAATTTGACCCACATTGTGGCAGTGGTCAGAATGAGCAGAACCATTTTCTCTGTTAGTAGACATCTATTGTAGTTAGGCTTATTGTCTATTTGAGCTCTTTCTTGCTCTCTGGTCTATGCTGAACTTAATTAGATTACATGATCTTTTTCGCCACACTCTAATTGGGGAAACTTTTTGGCCCTCAAATCGTACTTCCGATGCACAAAAACGTGGTTGAGGAGAACTTACTGGTGCTAACTTGTTTTATTTTAAAGTTAAAGAACAGCAATCAGGCAGAAAATGGAAGAAAATAATTTTGTCAAAGGTATTTTAAAGACAAACATTATGTCTAGACATAATGTTTTTTATGTCGGGGCATGTTTATATGATGACCTGTTGGGAGGTTTGTACCAGGTACAAACAGTAACCAATCAGTAGTAAGGGCGGAGTTTGCTATGTTAAAACCGGGAGAAATTCCTTGATTCGCCCTTCTATCCCTCGCCATTCGAACGTCAAGTGCTCAAGAAATCTTTTCCCTCTCTTCGATTACACAGTCCAAAGTTTCAGGCAAGTTGAAAATTTCTGTATTCTCTATCTTGCTATTATTTTGTTGGTGTCCAATTTAATTGACTATTTCAAACCTCGCATTTAACATATCATGAGCATGGCACCAACACGTGTACTTATCCTCGGTCACTCCTTTATCCATTGTTTGTTTAGTTTTCTTGTTGCTCATTTCGGTTGTGATTTCCTTGAGAATTTTAACTTGGGCGACGACCTTATTTTCAAATGGCACAGGATAGGGGGAAGGACAGTTGCAAAAACTAGGCAACTTGACCTCGGAGTCATAAGATCATTTGCTCCCAATATTGTCATTTTGCAGCTTGGCACGAACGACTTAACGGTGTTATCTGCTATTTTAAAGGATATTTTGATAAAATAAAATATTGTAATGTAAATAACTTAAGTATTGCTTTATTCAGTCTATGGTGTTAAGAATGCCAGAATGTGAACTGTATTATGGTGTATCTATAAAATGTGCTGGTCTGGTGTTTAAGAGCAGTGTAAGCTGCCGCAATTATTATTCTTATGTATGTGCATACCAAGGTCTAGCTTCCTGATCTTTCTTTTAAAACATTGAATGATACTTGACTACTTTATATTGTTACTAAGTTTGGACCACAGGTACAGCCCCATGTATTTTTATTGTATGTATTTTTTGTTATTTGTTCATTCTTTTAAATGAGGCTTGCCAATCTTTATTGGCATATATGGGCCTTGAGGTGAAGGCTGTTGCTGAGGGAGCTAAAGAGACTTCACTGAGATAAGTAGCCTTTTCATTGCAGTCCAAATGTGTTTGTGACTTTCTGCAAGCAACTTAAGTGATTTTGTATGCTTGGCTATCTGAAAGGAGCAATCTAGCAAACAAAATATACAGTTATGCATTCACATAACATCAGAAATTAGCTTTTATTTTTATTACTTATCTTAGTTTAACCTTAAAGAAATCTGCCTGACAAAACGGTTCTAACTACAAATCTCTGGCGGCCAAGCTTGTCTCGTTCATTTGTTCATTTTTGTTTCAGCTTAGAAATCATCTACAAAATTACATTTCTAGTAAAAAGAAATTTAAAAATAAAAGACCTCTGAAAAGGAGTATTTCCTCTAAAATGTGCATTGTGATGTGTTAGGATGCATTTGTTTTCCATTTTTGCCATTTTCAGTACTTTTTGTTTCATTTGGTTGTAGCCTGGCATTTTTAGTGGTTTCTGTTTGTGGAGGCATTACTGGTTGGAAATCAGTAATATGGCGGTTGGCATTTCCAAAGTTTTTCACCTACTAGAACTTTATAGGAGACAGGACAGGTGTACTCTGTAATGGAGTCACTTCAGCTCCCTAAGGAATTTTTGCACTAGAACT